AGGACTCAGGGGAGAACTTCTTAGAGGATGACACGGAGCATTTCTTTGCCCGCTCATGAAGGCTCCCCTATTTCTCTGTGCTGCACCCGGAGCCCGCGAGCAGGGGAAGGTCTTTCTGGGACCAGCACCTTCCCCAGTTCCACTTCCGAGACTCAGTGGCTAAACGCAGCGCCTTGGCGGACACACCGGCTTCGCGGAAAGCCCCTGGCCGGCAGTTAGCAGGTTAAGCAGCGTCGGCGCGACCTCGCTGCGGTCCCAGCCGCGCACCTTGCCTAAAACCCGGAAGCGCGTCCCTCCCGGCTGACAGCCCGGACTGCGCATGCTCGGCGCGAGGGGGCGGGCCGCGTCCTGCCGGAAGTGTTCTCTGCCAGGCGGCGTTTCCTTCCCGGGTGACACTAGCTGAGGACTCCTGCTGCCGGTGTTTTTGCAAGGGGAGGGTGTAGCGGGTTCCGGCGGGGCCTCGTGGTGCGGGCGCGGGATCCCAGTGAGCTCCTTCAAGGACCGGCTCGGAGCTGGGAAGCCCAGCGAGAAAGGTCAGCTCTCCTTCCTCCCTGTCCCACCTCCATGTCGCCCCCTAGCCTCCCCCAACCCTGGGTCTCCAGCGGATTCACCTCCAAGGGCGTCCCCGGCCTCGCCTTGGCTTCCCGCCCGGCCTAGGCCCTCGGGTCTCGGCGAGAACTGTTCCCGAGAGTTATGCCGTTTCCTGCAGGGAATCTGCAAGGCATCGGGGTCGCTGCTTGGGCTTGGGGTCGTCCCGGGCGACCTCAGAACCGGGGTCTTCGCCAAGGCGGCCCGAGTGAACGGGGTCTGATTGTTGCAGTGGCACGGATCCCACCTAGTGCAGAAGCGGAGGTGATCCTTACGGCCCGGGCACACTTTCGCGGAGGATGATGTTAATTATAACCTGTCCTTTATATGAAGGTTGGCAGTCTTTCATTGACAGACATAGCCTCGTGTTCATTGGACCTTGATGTCTGCGAAACCAGGACTTTGGGGTTGAGAAAAACTTTGTAAAAACACTGCCCTGAATCAGGAGAGAAATACTACAGGGTGAACAGTAGACTCAGTCCTTAACCTGTCAGTACACTGGTCATTGACAAGGTAGTGCGATTTCAGAGTTTTCTGCCCTGAAATGGAGAACTCTTTGAAATGAACAACTATCTGGTGTCATGTTTCCCTAGCAAATAACAGCGTTACAGTGTTTTGCGGCATTTCTTAGTTGTACAGAGCATCATCTAGGTTTAGGTACATAAATGTGTGTCATGTCGTTGATCCTAATGTTTTATAAAAGGTTGAAATACATTCCCTACTGCTGTATGCATATGCAGCTTTCATTGCAAATTGTGCTGTAATGGTGGTGTTACTGTAACGACCTTACATTGCAGGCATATCAGTGTCATATGAATGATAGATAAGTGTGCAATAAAGTATATACAGTTACAACCTACAAGTAGAAGTTTCAGTTTCATTTCAGGATTTTGAGGTCATTTTAAAAGATGGAGTACTATTTTAGAAATGACCGTAGGTCTGGACTACTGTATTACAGCTAATGATTTAATTATAGGAAATAATGTAGTTAACAGAGGTCTTGCATCTTACTATTTTTTATAGAATTAAAATTTTTCTATCTTGACTGTACTGGGATGTACTGGTAACAACTGTAGTTATTCATGTAGTTCAGTGAACATCCAGTAGATGGCAGTTTTTTCACTACTAAATCAAACTTTAAATAAATGAAAACCTTTTATTCAAACATCTCTAGTTTTCAAAGATTGTTAAGTTAAAACCCTTATTTTGCCTACCGGTTTATTTTCGTCAATGAATAGTGTCCCTCATAATGATACTACATATCCTATCCAACTGCATTTTCAAATTTACTCTGTTGGAATAAAGGCTAAAGAAGTCAAATTTTCACATCCTATGAGAAGTGGAATATTCTTAACCTATTTATAGAAATTTATGCTGATGGAAGAAAGCACACTTTGATTTTATTATAAGAGGAGACATTTTAATTAGGGGGCTTCTCCCTACCTCCATTAAAAAAACAACAATTAATAAGACTGCACATTCCTTGTGTAAAGTAATTGTATCTTAGCCATTATTGTATGTCCAGTATATAGTAGGCATTATATACATTTAATAAGTGCTTTATGGTAGGAATTAAATAAATCATTTAGCACATCTAGGCCCCAGATTCTTCCCCCACAATGAAGGCTTTCAATTTTTTAGTTAAGTTTAAATGAAATAATGTCATATTGTAAAGTGAATGGCTTCTAGTAATGGAGAAGTAAAGTCAATGGAACCTTTGACTTTTCTTTGAAGCCGTTAAGAAATTGGGCAGCAATTGTGTTGGAATGATTGAATGGGAGCTGTTCAGAGATATATGTTGCAATTTATTTGTTAAATAATTATTGAATAGCCTCTTTTTTTGTATGTGACAATTATAAAAATGGATAAAATATAAATCTTGTTTATAAGGATTTAAACATTTCCCGATCCTAGTGACACCAGTTGAGCAGACTCAATATCACATAAGTTAAATAATACAACCAAATGAATAATATAAAGGATTAGTGTGATCTGAAAGCCTTCATGGAGCATGTGAAGCTTTTAAAATTTGGATAGAATTTGACTAATCCTAGATGAATGGTGAGAAATAGCCCATCCAGGGCAGATAGGCTAGAGCAGTGGTCGGCAAACTGCGGCTCGTGAGCCACATTCGGCTCTTTGGCCCCTTGAGTGTGGCTCTTCCTAAGCCTTAGGAGTACCCTAATTAAGTTAATAACAATGTACCTACCTATATAGTTTAAGTTTAAAAAATTTGGCTCTCAAAAGAAGTTTCAATCGTTGTACTGTTGATATTTGGCTCTGTTGACTAATGAGTTTGCTGACCACTGGGCTAGAGGGATAATACTTAAGGCATTTTCCGATCCTAGTGACACCAACTATTGAGAATTCCTACTAAGAAGTGGTGAGAAGTAAAATGCTTAAGTTACTCTCTTGGGGCTAGATTAGAATAGTCTCTAATAGTTGGGATTCTTGTAAATAAAGGGAAAGATTTGAGGTCTTTTTATTAGGGAGGGGTATATACTCTTTGAGGTATCTAAAAGGAATTTCAAAATTGTGGGCACTATTTTAGAGGGAGGGACATGAAGAGGATCTTTAATTGAGTAGTAATAGTGAGAAGAGAAATAATTTTTAGAGCTGGAATGACCTGCAGTACCTAATTTTTACCTGTTGCCGAGCCATTTGTACAAATCCCGATTTGTTCCCTTTCACATGAGTGCAAAATATATATTCTCTTTGTTTTTTTCCCCTGGTCATATAGCACTCAACACATTTCTGTGCTATCTATACTAATAAAAGCATAATATGCTAATTAGATTGGGCAGCCAAATGACCTTCCGGATGTCCTTTTGGACAAAGCCACAGTGGCAGGGGGCTGAGGCAGAGGCATTTAGGGGCGATCAGGCTGACAGGGGAGAGCGATTAGGGGCAAGCAGGCCAGCAGGCAGAGGTGGTTAGGGACGATCAGGCAGGCAGGCAGGTGAGCAGTTAGGAGCCAGTGGTCCTGGATTGCAAGAGGGATGTCCGACTGCCGGTTTAGGCCCCATCTCTTCGGGGTCCCGGATTGGAGAGGGTGCAAGCTGGGCTGAGGGGACCCCCCATCCCGTGCACAAATTTTGTGCACCGGGGCCTCTAGTGAGAGTATTGTTTGAAGCTGAGATCCCATCTCCCAAAATGTGATAGTCACGTTGTCCCTAATAAGGTTGTTATTCTGGGTAGGGATTGCCTTGGACAGGGGTGTGCATGCCTTCTGTAAGCCTAGCTATGACTGATGTAGCTGTTCAGAGATATATGTAAAAATAGGCTCATTGCCTTTTTTTACCCCTCTCTCTCTCTCGGGTGTGGGCTGTATTTTTGTGGTTCAAAAATATTTGAAGATTCTGTTGCTTCAGTTTTAGCTGGGTTGTAGGGAACAATAGTATATATAGCTCAAAAAACGAAACTTATTAAGGAAATGGCATGTTTAAATTTAAGCAGGCCTTGAGGACCTTTAAAAGTAAATATTAGGAAGTAGTGAGTTCACAATTTGAATTTTACTCAAAAATTACCTGGTTTACATTACACGTAATAGAAGAAATTCTTACCATCACATTAGTAAAGTATCTCATTGTTGGGCTACCTTTCTTCGGTTAGATTAGTGTTAGAGTCATTATTTTTCTAGACTCTGAAATTGTAGTTATTTTAAAGCTGTTTGAAGAGTAAATAAATACCTCAAAATGTTTTGTATTTTTCAAATAGAATTATTCTCTACTTAAATTATATGAGTTTTTAGGGAAGGTCATTAAAAATTCCAGTAAACTAACCTGTTTCTAATTTGTCCCTTTCGTTACCAAGGGGAGCTTAAAATGTGTTTGTTTACCTAACACTTAAAAATCCATTTCTCCTCAAAATAAAACACTTTTTAAAGGTAGGTAATGTTGAATTTGACTAGCAGTTCTTGTTACTTAATATAAGGTTCTTATCAGCCTCCCAGTTTTTATGAGTAGTTATTACTTAGTGACATTTCTGTTTGTTTTTTAAGGGTTAACTGTCAAGATGGTACATGCTGAAGCCTTTTCTCGTCCCTTGAGTCGGAATGAAGTTGTTGGGTTAATTTTCCGTTTGACAATATTTGGTGCAGTAACATACTTTACAATCAAATGGATGGTAGATGCAATTGATCCAACCAGAAAGCAAAAAGTAGAAGCTCAGAAACAGGTATGAATAAAATACTTGAGGATCATTTTTCTTGTAGTTAGCAAATATTTTTCCATAAAACTAAGGATGTAGTAGAATTATAAGTTAATGAGAAATTCTGTAAGATTTACATTAAAATGTTTTTGTCATATTTCATTATTCCTAAAAATAATTGTTTCTCAAATACTTTTTGATATATAAGCAACTTTAGAACAGAAAATGATGAATAAAAATATTATAGCATTTGGTTCTGAACATTCTCATTAGATTATTTTTGTCAGCTATTTGTTTCTGAAGGAATCTAGGTAAAATTTTTTAACAGATTAAACAAAATTTATCTTTAATAAGGTGTACATTTTGCTTTGTTTGACATTTGAAATGTGGAAAATACTGACAAGTATTCAATCATAAATTTACAAACTACACTAATTTCTAATTAAGGAATTGCTTTAAAAATGTTAATATAAGTTGTAATTTTATTTTTCACCTATTGCCTCTTGTGGTCCTTTTCTCATTAGGATGATATATTTGTTTTGGTTCCTGTTTTTCTTTAAAAAACAAAGCCTTT